CACTTGGGGCTATAAATACCCCTCAACTACCTCCGATGAAGGTAATTAATCTCTACGCTTCTCTCTCTGCAATTACTCTTTGAGAGCATCTCTCTCTAGAATATTGAGTATTGCTGACTTGAGCATTGGAGTGTTTCTCCCGGGGGAGCAGCCTCGGGATTTGCAGGTGTAGAAGCAGCTGAGGACTTCAACAGTGTTGGACTGTGAAGCTGCCTAAACATTTGGCGCCGTCTGTGGGAACTTGAACAAAAAGTTGTGTAGCTTAACCTGTTGGAAGACAAAATGGTTCGAACTTTTACAGGAGGTCGCCCCCCAAGAAATGAAGTGGACGAACAGGAGGACACTCAGCTGTCTGAACCCGGTTTGAATGATTTGGGACCAATGTCGAGGAACCTTTTCGTAGGGGGAGCAGAATAGGATCAGTTAAGTGGAACAGATGATGATGAAAGGACACCAACCGGGTACGCAACTCAGCCCGAACATTTCCAAGTTCCAACAGGAACAAGACAGAGACAACCCAGACCTGGCAATCTGCAACAGGAACGACCTCAAAGGTCAGCAGAGCCTGCTCGAACAACCGAGCTCGAAGAGAGAACCAGAGTTCTCGAGATGGCAATGGGTAAAATCCTTGCCCGCCTGATTTCGGATGACCCCCTGATCCCTTTGTTGAACAGGGATGCACAACCAGCTACGGTTGTTGCGACTCGAAACTCCCCCGCTCTAAGCAACATAGTAGTGCCGACCAGGCCAAGGGGAAGTGGGAAACTAAATAACGAGCCCTGCTTGTCCAAACATAGTGAAGAATTGATGAGAAAGAATGCAGACCTTGAAAGGCAGCTGCGGGACGTACAGAAGTCCATTGACGAGCTGAAAAGCCCCAAGTCGCACCAACAAACCCTTGATTTGGATAGTGCTCCACTGAACCTATCCATCACAGCAGAACCATATCAAGAGGGATTCAAAATTCCCCACCTGGAGACATATGATGGCTTGGGCGATCCAGATGAACATCTACACACCTATCAAGCCATCATGAGGATCCAAAATGCCAATGATGCCATGATGTGCAAAGTGTTCCTAGCGACACTGAAATCAACGGCCAGAAGATGGTATCACAAGCTCCCCAGACATTCTATAGACTCATACTCTCAGCTCGCCAAGCTATTCTCCAACAAATTCACGAGCTAGAGGGAGATCAAACGCACAGCAACCGAGCTGAAGCAAGTTAATCAGAGGGAAGGGGAATCTCTGAGGGACTACATGCAGCGATTCAACAAAGCCACTTTGGACATCGATAACGTCCCAGACACCATCTGCCTATCCGCCTTGCTGCATGGTTTGAAGCGTGGCCGGTTCCTGGACGACCTGCTAGAAAACCCACCAAAGACATGGAACAAAGTCAATGACAGGTCAGCTAGCTTCATACTATCCGAAGATTTCCAGTCGTCCAAGCGGCGAGCTGATGACAAGTAGAACAAAAGTCACGATCAGCCACCGAGGAGAGAAGAAAAGAAAAAGCAGAAAGTTAATGAGCAATGGGGGAAGCCAGATGAATTCCTGAAATACGCTAACTATATCCCTCTGACCTTGCCTAGGTCTCAAATCCTAGCACAAATCCAGCATTGGGTTAGAAGACCCCCACCCCTATTACATGATTCCCCGAGAGCAGACAAGAGCAAGCACTGTGACTACCATCGTGTATACGGTCACAACACAAAAGATTGCCAACACCTAAAAGACGAGCTGGAGTTCCTGGCTCGCAATGGGAAACTGGAAGGATATGTTCAGAAGCTCCATACCCAGCAACCCACTCAAGCTCATTTTGTACAAGGGTATGACCGACCTCAGAGGTAGAGGTACAAGCTCGGCGGCGCACAAGATGCACATCAGGATAACCAATATCCTTCCGAGCAAGGCAGGACATACAGGGGACGTCAATTTAATAGGCGAGGCCAAGGATAGAAAACCACCGCCCAGAACCAAAGAGACCGGAAAAGGGTGGGTTATGCTGGGATTCCCCCACCTTCGGGCACAAAAAATATGATATCAGGTGGAGTTCACTCCGGAGGCTAAAGTGCCAGAGCTCGCAAAGCATATGCACGCCAGGTGATGACTGTTAACAAAAACAGGCCTTTGAAACGCCCATTTGAAGAAGCAAACTGGGAAAATGTACCGGTCCCTTTTAGCCCGGCAGATTATAAGTGAGCAGAAGGGGAGCCCGACGTTATGATACCACATGTAGATCCTTTCATGGCAACAGTTCATATAGGCAACCATAACGTCAACAAGGTCTTCGTTGACACTGGTAGTTCACCAGATATCCTGTACTAGAGTTGCTTCCAAAAGATGCAGCTACATCCGAGCTCGCTGCAGAAGCACGAAGGGCCAATATATGGGTTTGACAATCAGCCCGCCCGGTTGAGGGAGTCATTACTCTGCCCATCTATGTGGGCTCGGAACCACGCTTCAGGATGGCTTCCGTCACCTTCCTGGTCATCAAGATGGAATCAGCCTTCAATGCTATATTAGGAAGAGCCACCTTGTGCGAGCTGAAGGCTGTTATCTCTTAACCCCATCTCTGTATGAAATTCTCAACTCCTCAAGGGGTAGGAGTACTTAGGGGAAACCGGAAGATGGCCAGAGCCTGCTATCAAGATACGTTCAAGAAAGTTCAGCTCGCGGCAACACCGGTAGGTTCTAAGAATCACAGACCAACTCAGCCCAGACAGCAGACAATGAGCATATCAGACATCGAGCATCGACCTGAGGGTGTCGAGCAGAAAGCAGAGCTAGTGGAGCCAGTAGAAACAGTCCCTCTAAACCCGGATGTGCTAGAAAGGACAGTTAAGATCGACACCAAGCTCACAGAAGAGGAGCGTGCAGAGCTTCTGGAGTTTTTTAGGATTAATCAGGATGTGTTTGTGTGGACTGCGGATGAAATGCCTGGCGTTCCAGCAGAGTTGACAATCCACAGGCTCAGCACGGACCCTACCAGAAGGCTAGTGGTTCAGAAATGTCGCCTTTTTGGCCTTGAGAAGCAAGCTGCCATAGATGAAGAGATACAAAAGCTGTTACAAGCAGGCTTCATCAGAAGAGTAGAATACTCTGAATGGGTGTCCAACCCTGTGCTCGTCAAAAAGCCAAATGGCAAGTGGAGGATGTGTATTGACTTCACCAACCTCAATGATGCGTGTCCAAAAAACCCTTATCCCTTGCCAAATGTCGAGAAGTTAGTAGAGCGGGCAACCAGACACAAATGGATGAGCTTCCTTGATGCCAGTTCGAGTTATCATCAGGTCCAGCTGTTGTTAGACGACCAGGAGAAAACAGCGTTTTATGCTGGTGACGTAATCTACTGCTATGTGATGATGCCGTTTGGCTTGAAAAACGCTGGTGCAACATATTAGAAGCTTGTGCAAATCATTTTTAAGCTCCAGATCGGCAGAAACATAGAAGTATATGTGGATGACATGATTGTCACCAGTGTACAAGCTGAAGATCACATAGGCGACCTGAGTGAGACCTTTCAAAATTTACGCCGAGCTCAAATGAAGCTAAATCCCCTGAAATGCACATTTGCTGTAGAGTCAGGGAAATTCCTAGGTACGTGGTATCCAAGAAAGGAATTGAAGTCAATCCAGAGAAAGTTCAGGCCATTAAGCAGATGGAGCCACCCAAGACTATCAAAGAGGTGCAGCGGTTGACGGGCCGTGTCGCTGCACTGCATAGATTCATAGCCAGGTCAGCAGAAAGATGCCTCCCCTTCTTCAAAGCCCTGAGAGAGCCCAAAAACTTTCAGTGGATGGGTGAATGTCAGTAAGCGTTTGACAAGCTCAAACAATATCTGGCATCAGCACCTCTACTGTCCAAGCCTATGGAAGGGGAGAGTTTATACATGTCCTGGGGGTTACAGAAGAGGTAGTGAGCTCAGTCCTACTTAGGGAAGAGAATAGGAATCAGAAGCCTATCTGCTACGTGAGCAAAGTTTTACAAGGTGCCGAGCAGAACTACCCACTAGCAGAAAAGGCTGCTTTTGCTTTGGTCTGCACAGCTCGTAAGTTGAGAGCTTATTTTCAATCTCATCAAATTGTTGTTTATATTGATTTCCCGCTGAGGAAAATATTACAGAAGCCAGAACTCTCTGGTATGCTCATCGGGTGGAGCGTCGAGCTGAGTGAGTATGACCTTAAATTTCAGCCGCGCATGACTATAAAAGGACAGGCTGTGGCAGACTTTTTGGTTGAATGCGCCTCGGCGACTGTGAAAGAAAAGGCACCTGAACACCCAGTCTGGGTTTTGTATGTAGATGGAGCTGCTAATGTTGAAGGATCAGGTGCTAGGGCTGTACTGTTAGGGCCGGATGGCTTTAAATCCGAGCACGCGCTGAGGTTCAAGTTTCAAACAACTAACAATGCAGCAGAGTATGAAGCCCTCATCTATGGCTTGAAGCTAGCGTCCAAGCTGAAGGTACAGAGCATTCAGGTTTTTAGCGACTCTCAGCTCGTTGTGGGCCAAGTGAATGGCAACTGTGAAATTAGGGATCCCCAGCTTGCTCGTTATGCCTCTGTGGTCAACAGATTGAAATCAAGATTTGCTTCCTTCCAAATCGACAAGATACCCAGAGCAGATAACCAACGAGCTGACCAGCTGTCGAAGTTGGCCTCCTCGCAAGAGACGAACCCTCATAGGTCAACAATAGTGGAGGTACTTGATGCTCTGAGCTACACCGATTTCATAGTTGAGTGTCAGCTGCTCAGCACAAATCCATCTTCACCGAGCTGGACCACCCCACTCATAAATTATCTGCAAAGTGGCGAGCTACCGGAAGATCCGTCCGCTGCAAAGTTGACTAAACGGAGGGCAGCACATTTCACTTTGTTGGACAACAGGCTCTATAAACGAGCAGCCTCAATGCCCCTATTGCGCTGCCTTACTCCTTATGAAGCCGAATATGTTGTGAGAGAAGTTCATGAAGGAGTATGTGGCACCCACATCGGTGGTAGGACTTTAGCTCGGAAACTTCTGAGGCAAGGTTATTACTGGCCCACTATGGTCGAGGACGCACAGAACTATGTCAAAAAGTGTCCGACCTGCCAGTTCAATGCTGATGATATCCACATGCCAGGTATCTGAGCTCATTCTAAAGTTTGTGCAAACTTTGTGTTTGTCTATAAACTGAGCACAAGTATCTCTGTTGAAACAGGAGAAATGCTCTCATCACTCTCATCTCCTTGGCCTTTTGCTCAATGGGGAGTCGACCTGCTCGGCCCTTTCGTGAAAGGTAAAGGAGGATGCACTTACCTTGTTGTCGCGGTGGATTATTTCACCAAATGGATAGAAGCTAAACCATTGTCCACGACCACAGAGAATAAAATAGAAGAATTCCTGTTTAATTCAATATTATGCAGGTATTTTTCGGTGACTTAAGCTATTGGCACATTATATGTAATTATAATTTGTGGCTCAGGTCGGACATCTGTTTCCAGGTTCGGCATACCTAAACGGATCATAACTGATAATGTTCCACAGTTCCGAGCCGCGGCGCTGAGGTCGTTCTGCAATGATTATGGAATTGAGCTCGCCTTGACATCTGTGTATACTCCACAATCCAATGGGCAAGCAGAGTCCGCCAATAAAATCGTCTTATGAGGCCTCAAGACACGTGTTTTGGCTGCACATACTAACTGGGTTGACAAGCTCAATAAAGTGCTGTGGTCATGTCGCACTACACCTAGCTCGGCCACAGGTGAAACCCCGTTCAACCTAGCATACGGAGCTGAAGCCGTCATCCCTATCAAGGTCGGATTACCGTCCGATCGATCAGATCGTCATGACGATCATAATAATGGACAACTCTTAAGAGAGAACCTAGACATAGTGGAAGAGGTCAGGGAGACGTCTCGAATGAAGAATATGGCATATCAGGGTCATGTTGCAAAATTCTATAATAAGCGAGTTCGAGCTCGTCAATTTCAGGTTGGCGATCTGGTTTTACGCAAGGTTGGATTAACCAATACCTATTCACACATGGGCAAGCTCGCTCCTAATTGGGAGGGCCCCTATATGGTTGTTCAAGTTAAACGACCTGGCTCTTATGTGTTAGCAGATATACAGGAATGTCAATTACCTTACATTTGGAACGTACAGAATCTTAGAAAATTTTACAGTTAACATATGTACTATTCCTTTATTCAAGTTGCTATCTGATAGTTATAAACAACGGCATGCAGAAAATACAACAGAAATTCAAAGGAAAATTCATATTTGTATTTCATCAAAGATGTTTACATTGGAAGTACATATGATATGGATCTATTGATCAAATACAAAAATGCAAAAACAAAATACAAAAGATTAAAACGAAAAAATCCTAAGTCTAATCATCCGTCAAATCGACAGGCATGGACGCGTCAGCCGCTGGCGGAGAGGAGCAGGCTAGAGGCGAGCGAATAGCTGGCTCGCGAGCTGGCGCATTGATAGGCGACCTCGGTGGCGACACTACGGCGGGCTGAGAGTTGGGCGGGGTGCTTGAAGGCTCCTGCTCAGCCACAGGAGCACCCTCTACCCATGCATCAAAAAAGGTCATCCCTGCTGGATCCTCCCCGTCTTCAAGGACCTGATGAGGCCAAACAGGCACTCCCTCCTCGTTGAGGTCCCACCTCAACCGCACCGTTGCGTCAGCAAGGGGAGCAAGACTTTTCCCCTGCTCGTCCAAATCCTCCCCGTCGAAGAACGCCAGCTCGCCAATCGGGAAGTCCGGGCGGTGTTGCATCACCTTCCCATGGATCTCGTTGTAAATCTCCGTGGTCACGTTTATAGACGCCATCGCCATAGCGTCCTGAAACGCAGCCGAACCCACGAACCATTCCGCCCCTTGAGCTCGGGCGATGCTTACAGAATGTGCGTGGGAAGTCTTTAGCTCGTTCAGCGCGTCCCTGGTAGCATTGAGGTTCCTGTTGGCCTCGGCGACCTGATGCCTAAGGGATCTCAGCTCGCGCTGAGCGCGGTCCCTGTCGGCCTCAACCTTCTTGGCCCGTTCCTCAACTCGGGCGACTTCTTCCTTAGCGGCTTGGATCCCGCTCTCTTTTTTAGTACGGGCTCGCTCCAGCTCCTCCCTGAGCTCATTGTTTCTATGGGCGAGCTCGTCTGCCCCGCTCTCCGCTACAGCTACCCGGTTGGCCATCTCTGAACCTTGCAGACGGTTGACATCATTGCAAGGCTGGCTTTCTCTGCGGCTAACTACTTCCAATTGGCACTGAGCTCGTTATTCTGAGAGCGAGCTGCTTGCTCGCTCTCGAACATAGCAACGACGTAGCTGAACGCCTGCCAAACAGCATCAGTTGTTAGTCTATCAGGTGCAATAGCAGGATAATCGTACAAATGCTAGCCACAGATAAAGGGATACTTACGTCCATTAACTTGATCATGGCCACCTGCCCGCCATGCTGCTGCACGTAGCTCTTCGCTCGTAGCCGATCCGCTGGAGGTACGAAGCTGTGCATGCCTTGCACCATGGCGGGCTGGCACTCCGGCTTCACGTAGCTGAAGCCGTCAGGATACGCGATCCTGGGCGCCAACACTGAGGTCGACGCAGATGCAGGCTCTGCTGCTACCCACGCAGTTGTTGATGACGCGTTAGGTGAGCGCGCGTCGCAGGTCGAACCGCCTGCACAGGCTGAGCCCCCCCGCTTGTTCTCCGCCGGATGAGGGGAACCTCATCCTCACTCTCTGTCTCCTCGTGTACACGCCTGCGTGCACTGGGAGCCGTATCAGTCCGTTGATCGTGGCGTGGCCGGGACCCTGAGCTCGATCCGCGGTGAGACGAGCTGCGTGATTGGGGCACTGGCGGCGACCGCTCGTCAAACCGCGTCTGTCGTTGCGAGGTGCTGCTCGCCCCACGACCTTGTGAGCCCTGGGCTCGCTGACGTTGGCGCTCGAGTATACTGCTCATTTCCCCTGCACAAACAAATGTATAAGACTCAGCTTTGCTAGAATACACTCTATATGTTGAAAGTATACCTTCGCTGAACAAGTTTGTCACGTCGACAAACCCGAACACGGCGAGATGCTCCGAGGTAACCAGGGCTTTTAAATCTATTAGATTTTCCCTCTTCGCATACTCAAGTAGTTGATTTTTCAGATCTACATCCCGGGGCAACAGCTGGGGGTAGTTGACATGGGCGTTTGGCGTGCGCCACTCCGATAGCCGAGCAGCGAGGTCGTTGCTAATTCTCTCTGTTCGCATATTGTGAACAAAGATGAATTGCCTCTTCCACCTCGCCACCTTGTTCCTGACATTCTTGAACAGCTGGCTCTTATCCCTCCTAGAAAGGTAGTACCACTTGGCACCCTTGGAGTTTGGACACAGCCGACACTGGAACAACGACCTGAACACAATCGCCTTCGCCGGCACCTCCAACCTTGCACACAACAGCATAAAGCCTATGATGAACCTTATGCTGTTGGGCGTTAATTGCGTCAGAGCGAGCTCGTAGTCCGCCAGCAAGTCGAACACTAGCCCGAGCAAGGGAAAGCGCAGGCCGGCCTTGAAGTGGTCCACGTACACTGGGATCCAGCCCATCTGCGATACCGTGCACGCCCTATCACTCTTGGCACCAGTCTGAAGCAAGATCGTTCTGGGGATGTGGTGCGCCCTCACCATCTCCTCCAGTTTCCTATACCCACTTATTGAGGGCGCACAGTCTGCTACTTCATGATGAAGCACGGCCTTGAACCTAAAACCAGCGGGCAGATCCTTGGGTGCCTTTCGCAAATTGCTCAACCTGCCCGCAATGGTCTTGCTCTCCCACTCCTCAATCACAGGTTGATCTGAGACATTGCTCACCACATCCCCCATCCCTTCCTCGCGACTGGGTGTCTCTTCAGAGGACGAGCTGCTAGATGACGCAGTAGGGTGTTCACCACCGTTGTCCCTAGCGCTCGAACTGGCACTGCTGTCTGGCCTCATTGTTTCTGACACATCCTGCAACGCCAGTGGCACTATCATCGTGATAGGCTCCGCAGATATAACCCCCTCCCCTTCTTCTTCTCAGCCCTAGTTACCTCGTACCTCTGTAAGTTCTCTCAAGGAAACCATTTTACCTGAAATTGATGCGAAATGTAGAGTCTGGTTCGGTGCTTTGTTCTTCAAACTGGAGTGTTTCGCCACAGAGAATTTCAGAAAACTTCAAACAAACAGGGAAATGAAAATGGAAAAGTGAACGGTTACGTAAAGCATAAACCTAAAATTGCTGTGTTAATTGCCGTATGCGTGCCTCTGACGTGCTAGTTAGCGTCTCACGCGTGGCAAGCGCCTAAGCCCCTCTCGTATAGTGTGCGCCGGCTTTAGCTGTCGTGTCCCCTTAAATGCCGAGCTAGCATTTATGACGAGGAAGGCAGAGAGATACGGGGAGATCAATCGTATCTCTTAAGAGATTTGGGTGATTTGAAAAATCCCAAGGTCCAGATCGTAATGGCCGATATGCACCATCCCATCACATCTGCTTGCCAGTGTGAGCGCATTTACCAGGTCGGCTCAACCGGGACAGTTCGTTCAGGATTATAACTTGTTCGCTAAAATTCCTCAAGATTCAGTTTGTTACAGGTTGGTCTGCCCCTTTTCCCGTCCATTTCAGCTCGTCAGGTCGCTCACAAACCTTTTCACGGATCAATGAATATCTGAGGTCGCTCTATTTAACCTCACTGCCCATGCGAACTGATAAAGCATAATAATTATGATTGCGTGGGTGAGATCGCATCGTCTTAGCTCGTCATTATGATTGCGTAACAGCATCATCGTCGCTTCAGTACCCTCGGTAGTACTCGTTCGTCAGATCGTCACGCGTTCTCTTGCGCTTCCATTAACGTTGACGAGCTTGCCAGAATAGCGAATAGCACCTTGTGTGCATGACTATTCCCTGGACGAGCTCATTTGTGGTGAACTTCTTCAGCTCGCCGCTATAACCACCCCACACTAGTGTGGTTACGGATATCAGCTCGCCTCTTTTTGTGCCACCCTTTAGCTCGGCCGTCGTCGAGATCGGCCGCGAGCTGTTAAGGTTGTCCATCATGCTCACCAACTAGGCCCAGGCCCAACATAGGCCCAACATTCAAACCAGTTTGTCAACCGAACGCCGGGGGGAAGTAATGTTGGAATAGGCCCAACATAAGCCCAACATTCAAACAGGGCTGTGTGCAACGGGCCTAGGCTACTGCCTAATAACCCAAGTTAAGGGAATACTAATGCAAGCACGCCCATGTGACCAGCACCACGTGGGCCAATGGGATGCTCACATGTACAGATACATGTCAGCACTTGGGGCTATAAATACCCCTTAACTACCTCCGATGA